GCTCGGGGAGGTGTCACAAAATGCGTCCCCGCCCATGAAAAAGCGTTTTGGGTTTCCACAGAACGTCATTTACATAGGGTGAAAGTCTACCTCCAACAATGACAGAGCAACAGGGGTGTGGGCAGGAAGGAGGCTCTTCGCAAGCTGCGAAGCATCGATCGCAGCTGGAAAAGGCGGCCGCAGCATCTGCTGCATGTAGATCGGGCTGGGAGCGGGGGCAGGATTATTTCCGCGCCGTCATCAAGGAATGCCAATCCGCTGTAGCAGTCACATCTGCTGGACTCAATGTAAGAGATGTTGGGCTACACGATGCAGTGTAAATGTATGCATGCGTTGATCGCAGTTTTCGTGCTGCAAGCACTGCTGTTGGTTGTAATACTGTGCGGTTGTCGCTATGCTGCTCCTGCTGCTGCCGTATGTATGATGTGATGCCACCCATGTACATGTCTGGGTGAAGTTGCGCGCGACTGTTGGGCCGTAAGAACCACTCCGCCCCCACTCTTGTCTTTCATCCCCGCTGCTTGTCCCCATGATCTTACCATTGATTTTGCCCCCTTTCCCACCTGACGTACATGCAGGAGTATGTTATCGTCTCGCATGCGCAAGCCGGCAGCCTGCAGTTCAAGGTCTTGGTTCTGAAAGGACTGTATCACAAGCTGCTCAGGGGGGTGTCCAAGAGGCAAGCTTTCGAGGAAATGGCGGAGTTTTTGAAGTGGCATCCAGCACCCTCCGTGAGTGGGAGCTTTCCTATCGCACCAAGGGCCATATCCAGGTGAGAGGAGTTATGTACCAGACATCCGTTTCAACCGCAATGAAAGATGTGCGTGCCGTAGACTCTGAATGTGGCGATGAACATAAAATGGTACTGCTGTAGCTCAACAAGCTCGCCGGCCGTTGCCGTGAACATGCTCCCTCCGTGCAACGCATGCACTATTGCTCCCTTTCCATCCCGCACCCGTGCATGCTTTTGAGCCACCCTTTCCCTTTTTCTCGACAATGCGGTGTTCTTTGTCGCGTGCACCCTTGCTGTATTTGAAGGTGGACCAGAGGGGGAAACACGAACGGCGGTGGATCCTGAGCTTGGACGAGGGGCTTCTCGTGATGGTACGCCAATGGATCCAGGTGAACTCTATCAAAAATGGGGAGCCCAACATGACAGCCGAGGGCTTCCGCGAGTACCTCAACAAGGACGTCTTGCCACAGGTAGCAGACACCAAAACGTGCGACTACGACCCCTTCAAGCACGCTCCTGTCACCAAGACGACGACTGAAACGACATCAGGAATGATAGTGATGGCGTACTCGGTGACCGTTCGCACGGCGCGCTCCTGACTGCACAAGCTGGGGTGCGAGTACCGCCATCACAAGTCGGGCCTGTACTTTAACGGCCATGACCGCGAAGAGGTACTCGCGTACCGGGTCGAGAAGTACCTCCCGGCGTACTTTGAGCACCGCGACTACATGGAGATCTGGATCGAGGCGACTACGGACGAGGCGCGGTCCTGGGAGGTGCAAGTGCAAGAGAAGGACAGGCAAGAAGATGGACGTGTTTGGGTTTGCGTGCATGCCTTCAAGGAGACCCTCTCCGAATTTCCTCTGCATCTCCGCGAGAGGGTCACCAGCAAAAAAACTTACTCTGACGGCAGAAGAGCGATCTTCTGCTACCAGGACGAGTGCACCTACAGGGCCAACGACGGCCAGCGTTTCGCGTGGGTGCCACCCAACTATTACGCGCTCAAAAAGCNCGGCGTACTTTGAGCACCGCGACTACATGGAGATCTGGATCGAGGCGACTACGGACGAGGCGCGGTCCTGGGAGGTGCAAGTGCAAGAGAAGGACAGGCAAGAAGATGGACGTGTTTGGGTTTGCGTGCATGCCTTCAAGGAGACCCTCTCCGAATTTCCTCTGCATCTCCGCGAGAGGGTCACCAGCAAAAAAACTTACTCTGACGGCAGAAGAGCGATCTTCTGCTACCAGGACGAGTGCACCTACAGGGCCAACGACGGCCAGCGTTTCGCGTGGGTGCCACCCAACTATTACGCGCTCAAAAAGCAGGGAGACGGTCAAGGCATTATGATCTCTGGCACCATCGTCGACAACGTGGGATTCGTTGCGGGTGACCAGGCTGATATCGACAAGGCGCAAACCTTGCGGCGTAAGCGGTGCGATACTTGGGCACCCGAACACGCGGCAGGTGACCCGACCAAGCCAGAGACGTATCGTAACATCGACAAGCTCTACAAGGACGAAGATGGCAAGTTCTGGACCTACTACAGATTCGAGTACGGCAAGAGCAGGGACGGCTACTGGACGGGTGCGAATTTGGTTGAACAAATGGCAGATGTATTGGACCTCTTGGCGGTTAAGTATCCGAAGCCCATCTGCTTTTTCGACTGGTCATCTCGCCACGACTACTGTATCGAAGACGGGGCACCGAGCGCAACTCGCATGAACGCGGGGTACGGGGGGGGTGAGGAAGGGTAAACAGCTAGCTGTCCAGGACGCTACGACCCTATTGGCAGACACGCCCAAACTCAAGAAAGGGACGGTGCAGTACCTCACCTTTCAGGAGGGCGAGAGTCCTTTCTACGACCCGGGTGCCGAGGATTACATTGGCAAGCTCAAGGGGCTAAAGCAAGTTTTGTTTGAGAGGGGGCTCTGGAACGCGGACATGAGCACGAAAGGAATCAAGAAAGGCCAACAGAAGTATGACCCAGCGTTGTGTATGCCGGTGGTGTTGGGTACGCAGGAGGACTTCGCGAGCGTAGAGCCTAGCCTAGTGGTGTTAGTGAAGCGCCATGGAGGAGTGGCAATCATGCTCCCCAAGTTCCACTGCGAGATCAACCCGATAGAGCTGGTGTGGGGTAGATCCAAGTATTGGGTCCGGCAGCACTGCAAGTACACTATCGCGTGCTTGCAGACCAACGTTTCTTAAAGCTACGCGGTGGCCGGAGACCGCTTGAGGCTAGCAATTGTGCAAGAGATCTGCAGGACGGTGGCCAACTTCAAAGAGGTGAACTGCGACGGACTCCAGGGCGCGGAAGCAGTACAGAAGAGGGACACCTTTAAGTCTCACCGCAAGCCAACTCCGTCAGAGTACATTAACCCTAAGTGATGTACACGTATTCTGTGTTGTGTGGTGTTGAAGCGTACGTACGTAATATGCCGACATGGGTGTATCAATAGGTTATTAACTGACTGCGTGTTGTTGTCAGTGGCGTTGTTGCAGTGCGTCGTGTATTGCTTTTTCCCCCCTTTTCGTTGGCGGATTCTCTGTGTGCTACAGTATGTATGGCCGTGCGTATAACGTTCAGTAGTGGCAAAAATGAAGAGTGCAACGTGCGTGGGTATCGTGGGGTCATTTTACAGAAGGGTNGGCGCGGAAGCAGTACAGAAGAGGGACACCTTTAAGTCTCACCGCAAGCCAACTCCGTCAGAGTACATTAACCCTAAGTGATGTACACGTATTCTGTGTTGTGTGGTGTTGAAGCGTACGTACGTAATATGCCGACATGGGTGTATCAATAGGTTATTAACTGACTGCGTGTTGTTGTCAGTGGCGTTGTTGCAGTGCGTGGTGTATTGCTTTTTCCCCCCTTTTCGTTGGCGGATTCTCTGTGTGCTACAGTATGTATGGCCGTGCGTACAACGTTCAGTAGTGGCAAAAATGAAGAGTGCAACGTGCGTGGGTATCGTGGGGTCATTTTACAGAAGGGTCTCCAGTCGATTGAAGTAATCAAACATACATGGGAAACAAGCCGGTGCGCGTGGGCCACATTTCCTGTCCCGCCCCAGGAAGGCGCCAAATGTTCACATATCAATATGTTTTGTATTTTTTCATGAATATCTTCGTTCTTCTCTACCCCGCCGATACAGAGCAAAAAAAAGTAGATGCGGGATGTTTCGAGTTCGTGGTTGCCNAGCGCTGCGCTCCCTCACCGCCTGGCGGAGCACGCTCAGTCTCGCGTAGCTCTCGCCCTACGACCAAACTCACCTCCGACAACGCATCGTGCAAGTAGCTGACCTCGAGAATTTCAAAGACGAGAGGTTTTCTGCATCTGTTATTCGCCCCCCTTCCCCCGGTGTTTGCCATCGGGGTTGGGTTTTCGTCGCTTGGCAACGACGTTGTAAAACAAGCCGCCCCCCACGGTGTTTGCCATCGGGGTTGGGTTTTCGTCGCTTGGCAACGAACTTGTAAAACAAGCCGCCGCCCCCGGTCCCAAATAGAGGCCATGCGCCCCCCTCCCCCTCTACCTCCCCCAGAGGATGAGGAGGG